TTATTGTTTTAGAATTTTTACAATCTTCTATGCCTTCATGCCTAACTTCTATAACTTCATGCCTTTTCACTTAATAAATTTTTAATTGTTTAATCAATCTTCTAAATATAGAACGAAGAATCCTTTATTATAAATTATATATATATATATATTTTTTTTTTTTTAAATATTTAATGAAGCCATCGAATCTAGATTTCCTACTCTATAATTATCTTATTGTTATTTTTATTATTATTTTTATTCATAGGCGAGACAAATAACTCCGCTTCCAAATGGCATTCTGTTTGTTAAAAAATCTGAAACACTTTCGCACAAGTTTAACATATGTGGCACACCATCGTCTTCACCTGTTGAGACAAATCATGGAAATAAAAATTCCATGTTGAGTCCTAAATCGTCGGATAGTGCATCATTAAGACATCCAGACGAATTTTCAGATGATAGCGTGAATCATTCAGATGACGATGCAATTTTGACGGAATGTATACAATCTGCAATGCCAAAGGTTGTTACTTTAAAACTGAAAACTTTGTATCCGGATTTAAACCGGATGTTCTATGTACAGCAATAAGTTGTTAATTATATTATTTATTGGGCGATTCACATTTTAGGCAAGATTCAGTTTATCATCGACAATTAGATCGCCGTTAGCACAAACTACGGAAAATCTTACAACAACGAACATGCAGCCGTCCCCCACTTCATCAATATTTTTTCAGCCAAGATGTATGGAACAAAAAAAAAGTATAGTGAAAAAGCTTTTGTCCTTCGAAGATAATGGACTTTCTGAAGAAGAAGAAGAAGAAGAAGATATCATGTTAGCACAATGTATTAGATCTGGTATGCCAAAAGTAAGTTGTATTTATGTATAAATAAAATATACACAGGCACTCTTTGACGATGCTAAAGAATGAACACATTAAAAACTATACCAATAAGGGATATTTCTGCTTTATACTTGAAATATTTTATGTTTCGATAATATTCTAATATTTGATACATGCGATATAAATTAATTTTCAGGCGCTAAATTCTATGCCATCTACAGCAATGAATCCATCCACAATCAAAAAATCTGGATCATCTTTGAAAGACGCAGACAATTTTTCCATCCCTTCAGTTTCATATTTTGCGAATAAATCTCATTCTCCCAGGAATGCCGCGTTGTATTCACCGTCGTACAAATCTGCGAATATCAACACAACGGATATGCGTTTCACGAGAAACGTATCCGGTAATTTTAACTACTTCCCCGGGAAAGTAACAAGCAGTAATATAGCACAAACCTCCAGTCAGACATTAAAAAATTGTGATAACGGTACGCGCGAGAGAATAAACAATTCGCCGCATTGTGCTCGAAGATCGCCGCTTCGTCATACAGAGAGTCAAAACGGTAATTTTGTTGATAATTTGTATATGCCCCTGCAATCTCGCGACGTGAAATGCATGCCGATTTATAATAAGATTCAAAACAACGACGATTATACGTATAAAAATCACAATACAGTGAAATCTAACACGATGCCTTCGCGACACAGTTCAGTGAGTTCTCTCAATGAAGAAGGTTCGTTGATTTCTATGGAAGAATGGGCCCTACTAGAATTGTGCATTACTTCTGGTATGCCTAGAAACAAGTGTGTTAAGGGAACTAAACCTAATGAGAGTGCAATCTCCAATGGTCACGAGGACTGCGAGTCGATACCGGAGGACAATTATTCGGTGTGCAGTTACAATTCTTATGTTTGTAAGACATAACATACAGGTATCGCATTTACCAGAGTTTTTTTCTTTCTCTTTCTGGCAATTTGTACATACAATATTTAAGAAAAGACTGAATATTTTTATATCAATTAATAAATAAAGGATTATTGTATTTAATAGCGAAATCGATTAGCAGACTCATTGCATGTTAAAGCCATCATACGTAAATTGATGTATAAATGTGTTTATTATAAACATGGAAATCAATTAAATTATAAAATAATACGCTTTATTATGCTATTGGATGAAGCATGTATTTTATAATTCGAAATATTTTCATTTCACTTTTATTCACTGATAATCAAAGTACAATGGATTTAATATGTACCAATGTGCTAAAATGTCCGATCGAATTCGCTATATTTATAATAATTAAAAATTCCATTATGAATTGAATTGATAAACCTGAAAAATCGTCTTACAGCTTTGATTAATATTTTTTAAATTATTTAAAATATCAAGATATCTGTATTTTGTTGTTAGAGTTTTTATATTTAAGTTACTGATTATTTGACAATTAGACAAAATTAACTGAATCAATTGCATTTTAGATGATGAATTGCGATGAATAGATTATTAATCATTTAATTTTGACTATAATATGTAAAGAATGATTTTGTATTCTAAATGTTATCAACAAATTAATTTATAATAAACTTTTTAACTGAATTTTTAAAACTTTTAAATAATCAATATATAAGATGGGGCATTTTAATCGCCCCAAGTAAATATCTCGAAAATTAAGAGAGATACAAGAAAAAGTTTATATGAAAGTTGTAGGTTTTCTTAGGGGAAAGAAGGTGAAAATAACGGATTTTAGATAGAGGACACTACCAAGGTCAGGTTAAGGTCAACATGAAAATTTTTTAAATAGAAACCCCCATCTTTTATTAGATATTCTTATCTCAAGAGTTTTCCAAAACTATCTATAATTAAATTCATTTCATAAAATACTTTTCGAGTTATAAGGCTTACAGCACCACCGGCTTTAGCATTACCCAAGGTATTCGACTGATTTAAAATCTCTTTAATATTGTTCAGGATCTGGTTAACATTAATCAAAATCAAGGCCATTGAAGATTGTACCTTTTATCTTCATTTTTACATAGAAATGAATTTTTAGTGCAGAGTTCTGTGACATCTTGTTAGAGCTCAAAATTATATATATATATACAATAATATTTTCGTTAAAAATTTAAATTAAAAGTAGAATTTTAAAGCTTGAAATGTACTTTCGAATGTTACTATATTTTTTTGAATTTATGTGAGTTTTGCAATTTTTATATATAGAAAACTATGAGTTGCAAAAAGGGAAATTTTTCTTCTCACTTTGTGGGTTTGTCACATGTCAAAAAAAATTTGCGAAAATTTTCGATTATCTATATCATGAAAGTTTGGAATTTTCCTTACAAAATCGTTTTTTTTTCTATGATTTTTTTTTTTTTGTTTGTTGAGTTATTCGCGAGTTAGAGGTTGTAAGGGCATAAAACATATATAAAACATATATTAATATTAAAAAAAACTTCATATAATAAAGATAACTGGAATTTTCAGATAGTCGAAAATTTCACAACAAATATATTCTATATATAATTTTAAACTAACAAAATACAGCAGAATTTTTTCTCTAATCCAATATTTGGAAATGTTGCTTGCAGATTATTTTCAAACAATATATACAATATATTGCAAAATATTGAAGTTCCATTATTTTTCTATGATTTCAAATATAATTTAAGATTTCATTTTGTGTGTGTGTGGGTGTGTGTGCGTGTGCGTGCGTGCGTGCGTGCGTGCGTGCGTGCGTGCGTATGTAAGTCCATCAATATCTGATTCATTTCGTTTTTCAACCAAAAGTTTTAATTATAAATTTTTACAACATATTAAAAGAATGTTAGTTTGATTGAGTGCGTTCTTTTCTCCCATTCCTCAAATTTCTGACACTGCTCAGTCTAGTGATACTATTAATATGTCTGATACATACTAATACTGTACTATTGAATTTTGGCTACATATTTCTAACTTTGATCACCTGCGTGATATGCACGCATCGTATGCTCGCTAAGCACGGCCCTATTAAAGGTCTCATGATATTTTTATAAATTATTCAAATATATGAAAGTACTTTTTGTTTAGATATATCCTTGCATTCATTTATATGTATATGTAAAGGAAGAACTTATATGGTAACCGAAAATTGTAATTTACAATTTTTGAGAACATTTCATACAGGTTTGTACTTTTCCAAAGGTATTTGCATTTTTTTCTTTTATTTTGGAGAAGGATTTTTTATTCTGCATAAAATATTGAAGAAAACGAAATTTGAAAAATATGAAATATGATGTTCATCGGTAACTCCAACATCCCTTTAAAGACTCATACACTTTTGTACTTGGCAGCCAATTTCCCTGAGCCACGCAATAGTTTAAATTAGATATTTTTTCTTATTTTTTTCTACATCCGTCTTTAACATCTGCTATTTTGTAATACATTTTGTGTAATTCAAATTTAATTTACCCGTTTATTAAAGGGAATATTCATGCTTTAAGATATAATTCATTTTGATACGATGATTTTATCGCCATTTAAAGATATTAAAAATATTTTGCGTGTGATTACATATATATATATATGCATAAATTCCAAATGTGTAATATTATTAATAAATTAGTATTACACGCACATACACACACAGTTGCGAAATAATATGCAATCAACCCGATTGTTTTTGGATCGATCTAATATAAATTTATGCGTCATCGCGCATACGGTATTATTTGGAGTATCATGTAATAATTAATAGAGCAAAAACATTTTATATTCTCAATCTATTTTGAATGATTTTTTCAACTTTTCAATTTTATGTATTATAGAATTTCCAATGTATGTATTCCCAATGTAGAAACAAGCGGCGTTTCTCGTATTGATCTTGGAAATTGTGACCTTAGAAATTCTCTTTTTTCATATAAAACATTAATTTTTTTTTAAATGACTTAATTATCGCAGAATTTCTCTAACGAATTTCTCTTCTTTTTGTTATATTTTCACATATGAATATTTATCATATTGAAATACTTTTTCTGCGGCGGAAATCGGTGGATTCTATCTATTATATTGGGGAAAAAAATAGTAATATCCGGATCATACGGACAGTAAGTACTAACATAGTTTTTGCCAGTGATTGCGGAGAGCAGTCGGTCGAGCGTAAAGTCCGGCCGCCTTTTGACCGCTACCTTGATGCCCTTCGATGACTCGTAATGATTACCTGCACGGCATCATAGTCTATTTTCTGCACGTATAAATGTACGCAATGCACTGCCCGCACGACTATCTTTCACAGTATACCACGACGTGTCTGTTCGTGAAGTGGTTTCCGGAGGAGTGCAGATTTTTCCAGGTAAAGTTCTTTAAGGATATTTATGTAAATTTGAATCAAGCTCTGCCTTTTCCGGATTCTGTTTTTAGAAATTTTTAATCGACCAGTTTTCAATTGATTTGTTTGAATATACATCGACGATGACACACTTTTAACAGAAAAATTGCTAAAACATTATTATTAATATTTTAGTATTTTTATAATATTAACCAATATAAGAAACTTGATAATAATTAAGCAGGATTAATTAATAATAATGCTAATAGTAAAAATAACTATATAGAAAAAAAAAATAAAATTCTGTTTGTGCCTATTCAAAATATTTTTTTAATATTTTTCTAATATACATTACAAATAATTAAATGCTGAAAATATTATGTATTTAATCAGAAGACTGTTAATATACTTCTCGAAAAAAAAGTTTTGATATTTTTTTCATCACTTCCGAATTTATATCTATGAAATATATATCTTTGTGTTGTAATATTGTTTTGTTATTTTATTTAATAATTTATACATGTAGGTCAAAAAAATCGAAGAAGAAAATAAATAAAATATATACAAAAGTAATACTAACATAGATGAAATTGTTTTATGGATGAGATAAGAAAATAGGGCAGAAAAACTGGAATACGTGAAAATATTATCAAAATATTATCAAAAATCTTTTGATGAATAATATCTATTCTATAATGACGTTATTAACTTTAAATGTTAAACAAGGACAGATGATGCATCCGAACGAAGTTTCCAAACACAGCCAATATATTTTTTAAATTTAATTAGTCTTGAAGTTGTGATAATATTATTCATTTAATATTCATTTATAAATAATCTCTCTTTTCAAAAAAAAAACAAAAGAAATAAAGTAAATAAAAGAATTTTTTAATTATTCTTAAACAACTCTTAAACAACTTTTTAATTAAATTTAAATTTGAAATTTAGATTTGAAGTATCTCCTTATGGCAACATTCCAATTTTTAAAAACAATACTTGTTTTTCTTAAAACTTTCTCAAATTATTCTAAACTTTCTAAATTTTGTTCCTAAAAGAAAATTTACAAGTATTAATATAGCATTTGTACAAATATATAATATCGCGAAATTTCTTTAAACTACATATTTCTTTAACAATTTTTACATTTTTATTAAAAAAAATTGATGCAAAATTATCCACAGAATTTGCAGCTTAACAAAAGTGTACAGTTTAGAGTTTAGATTAGACGAATAAAGTTGATTTTCATCATATAAAAAAAAAAGAGAGAAAATGCGAACAAACTGCGTCACTAATTCACATTGATATTATTGGTCCTGAGAGACTGATATGCGTCTAAATACAGATGCACCCTCGTGCTTTCCACGTCCTCGCCTTCATGCTGACTGCAGTCGTAAGGGCCGGCTGTGACGATAAAACAAAATGGTACTCTGAGTTGCGATCCATAATCAAGAATTGCCCATCAATGACGCAAAACAGCTCCGATCAGGATGAATTATTGGATATTTTTAGAAGATGCGTGCAGCAGAGAGCCATTGACACTTTGGATACTCTCCTCGATGATGATGTTATTACGATATTCAACGGAGTCGATCTGATACGACTTCATTCAAACGATGAAAACAATACAGAATATAAGTGAGTTGATTATTATAATCTATATCTAATTATCCGTAAATTAAAGAGAGGAAGAGAGAGAGAGAGAGAGAGAGAGAGAGAGAGAGAGAGAAAGCGAGAGAAAGAGAGAACAAGTTAGGCACAGTAGGGAAGTAGATCAGAAATAGAACTCTGTCCGATAAAAACTCAAGGCTAAAGATATGCGAATCAGGGAGATATTGTTAAAGAAATTTTATCAAAATTTGCTGTATAATAGATTAATATGCATTGAAGCGTGCTGCAGTAAGATTGTAATATTGTATCAGAATTCGTTGAATTTCGGAAGAATGCGTTATCACGTGCTCAAAGTTCAGCCTTGCATTCAACTCTTTCAATTATTTTTCATAATATTGAAAATATATCAGAAGAGAGAAAAACGTTTATTACGTATCTCTGACATGTTTTTGCTTTGTAAAACTACATATTACCGACCACTTCATCGATTTCAATGATCTTGACGCATGTTGTCTAGGTCATTGAGTGACCTTCATCAGGTTTTAGCCGTCATTTATTAAAAAATTATTAACAAAAAAGTTTGAAAAATAATGCCTTTTTTCTACTATATAAAATAAATTTTCTGTTTGTAAAATATATTTTACAACTTTCCACGTAAAGCGACTCTTACCTCACTTCCTGCTTAGAAGGGGAGAGTCGCTTCGCGTGGAAAGTTGTAAAATATATTTTAAAACAGAACGTTCTTATTTTATATAATAGAAAAAAGATGTTTTTTAAACTTTTGTTATTAATAATTTTTTAACAAATAACGAGCAACGATTAAAATTCATTGGAGGTGATTCAGAGTCATTGAAATCGGTGAGGTCGTCGATAATATGCAGATTTATTTTTATGCTTTATTGAAATTACATAAGATACAATAAATATCAAGAAATACTATATATTATAAAATTAATTATGTATATAAGGGTTTGTAAATAATAATGTGCCGAATGAAGGAAGTATATGCGTAATTTTGCAGTTAATTGATAATGTCAATTGTACGATTAAAAATTAATTTCTTTCGAAGATGCAGATTGTAGTGAATTTTGTAAAAAGGAATATTAACTCATATTAATTATTAGGAATATTAATTCACGAAATTTATAATATTATTACGTTTAATTTAACATATTGTTGCAAGCCCTTTAAATAAAATTATATGTATATTTGCGATTAAAACACGCGCAGTGATTTTCGACAGAGATGATTCTGCTGATGAGTTAGAAGAGGAAGATATCAGTTGGTCGGCAATCATTTGGAATCGAATGACACGCGTTCTGCGGACTCACGCTTTTAAAATTGACGTTGATCGTATATTTAATGCAACTGCTAACAGTCTGATGTCCGCACAAAATCTGGATAATAATATCGTTCAGGGTGAGTCATAACGCGCTTCATAATGCACAAACTATGAAACTTAATGATAATTTAAAGTTAAATTTGCGTCTCACAGGTCGAAAACGCCGTTATCGTCGTAAGAATCACGTGTTCCCGCTGATGATGATGGGTCTGCTGTTGATGGGTACGATTCTAGTGCCGATGGGTTTTCAATTCCTTGCAGTGTTGGGTGGTAAAGCCCTGATACTCGCCAAAATGGCTCTTATATTATCCAGCATACAAGGTCTGAAAAAGATAGCTACTAGTGGCGTTAATTACGGATTATATCACGTCTCAGACGGTTGGCATGATAGAAGTCATCAGGTACTTCCCAATGAGGATCAAGAACATTATCCGTTATATATGCCTCCGCGTCCTTAATTCTTTGCCAAGTGAAATTTTAAGTACAAGTCATTCGAGAAAGTTCCAACTCGACGCGCATTGTCGACGCACTTTCATCGATAAAATAGAGAATAAAACAAGATAGCACAATCGAGAGTATTTCCTGAAATTGAATTATTCATGGCAGTGCTCTTGAATTAATAATTATATAATAAGAATTTTCCTTCGAAACATTTTCTTCATTATCGCACATTTCGCTGCAAGCTATTTGATCATGCAAAACATTCTACAATATTTGATCGATGCTACGCTAATTATGATATAGCGTATAATAGAAAGGCATGTTCGAGCGTTATCCGTCGACAAACTTCGAAAATAACTTTTTGTTTTTTTAGTAAAATATTTTCCTCTTCCAAATTTTTTTAGAATATTAATTTCAAACTTAATTTTTATAGATTTAATAATTTATAATAGAATAGAAATTGCAATTACATGCGCAAAGGATCGATATTTGAAAATATTTATAATTTTGTAGATTTTTAGGTCGCCGATACCCACATGTTGATTTATCTGCAGTAGAATTGTAAATCGGCAATGTATTACTGATAGATCTATAAAGACTGTATTATATTTTTGCAGTTTATTTTCATCTTCATGAGCACCGTTTAATCGTAAACATGAGAATCCATTTGCATTCTGTTTTATTCGGACATGCGAATCTCGTCGAGGATATACAGTCTGTCATAAACGTCGTTTTCATGTCTGATAAATATAAGAGAAAAAGATTATTATTTTGTAGGAATACATCCAAACGCGACCACACTGCGAGTATCAGAGCGTATGCATGTTTGGAAATAATAAAATTCTTTTTTAAATTTATATGACACTCATTAGTATAATACAAAGATAAAAATACAAATTACGAATACAATAATATTAATAACTGATATTGTTTCAATACAAATTGTCTTATAAAGTACTATAATACTAACAATTACTACACATAAATTGCATGTTGAAAATTAGCATTTATGTTATAATCCACCGCAATTTAATGGATTACAATAGGTAACAATCGTGGCTGTCACAAACAGTTGCGATTATTTATTCACAAATGTCGTCGAGATATGTCGCATTTCGTGTTTAATTCTATGGGAAAGCATGCTTATGCAATGACCACTATTTACATCTAAATAGATACCGTCAGGCAAAGCGATTTTGACATCTATAGATTAAACATGATTCTATCGTGTATAAAAAAATCGGAATTGAGATATTGACCGATATTTGCTTCTGTATTTCTGTATTTTAGCGCATAGAGGATAAATCCGTTAATAAATGAGCGATTATCAGTCAGTATCCTTGTATCAATACTTCTTTCTGTGATTGTATAAAATAATATAAATAATTACTATAAAATTTGATTTATTTCCGAATTATATATTTTATATAAATTTTATTGGATTGAATATTTATCTATCAAGTTAGTAGCCGTTTGTGTGTGTAATTATATTTAAAATTGCATTTATACATTTTTATAATCCAGATTGCTAGAAGCGGCAAATATTTGTGTGACAAATTATTTTCACAATGCGTGATTATTTACGGCTATAATATTCGGGATACTACTTATTAAAATTTAAAGTATTAGTTTCATATTTTTCCTTAAGTCCTCATCAATCAAATGTTCATCATACAGTCAAATTATAACGGTTTTCATCACGACTTCGTTCGCAATTCAATTATACTCCTCAAGCTCCAGCATAAAGAACATAAACATAATATGCCTTGTCTTAGTATTTTCGTTACGAAAGGGAAATCATTTATAAAGCTTATGGACGTTGTCTTGAACGACGGGCGACGACTCTTCGCCGCCATCATCGATCTCGATTATAGCTTGGAGATTAAAGCTGGACGAAATAACATCGTGTCAGGATGAAAGCTATACACGCGTGCGCACACTTACACACACACACACACACGCGCGCGCGCGCGCGCGCGCGCACGCACAATATATAATAAATATAATATATATGTTCGTGTATAGCAATGATAAAGTGCGCTAATCAAGTGATCTATTTTACTGACAGGATTGACGCGTGTCCTGTATTTCTGCTTCATGATTACGAACATCGTTATAAACATTAATATCGAAGAACATTTAAAATGTCAACCCGTCCTCTTCCCGGCGCGGCAATACAATATATATCGACACAGAACGTTGCGTTATAGTAGTATTTTTCGCATCTACGAAAGGATCTGTCGATAATTCTTGTTCCCTTTGACATTCGCTTGTGATATGTGCAAAGCTTATATCAAGGTATATATCGTATGAGTTTTATGTATAATCAATGAATAACAAATGTGAATTCGTTAAAATTTGAAAAAAAAAAGAGAAATAAGTTTGTGCTTTTGAATTGCTAATTCATTATATTATTATTGTATATTTACAATTTTTTATTTAATCTTCTGTCATATATAAACAACTGATCAAGGAATAAAAAATCTTCCTAAAATTGGGAAAGATAATCTTAGAAAAAATATTGAAACTCATGATCGTTGAAGTATCGATCGCTTAATGAATTTGTGGAGAGGAAGAATATTTCAAATCAAATTTAAAAAATACAAATATAAATGTTTTAACGAAAGAATATCAATTTTTTGAAATTTTTAATTTAAATTTTTTAATTTAAAAATGCTATAAATATATGAAAATAATAAAAAGGCTCGAACGGAATATTTTTGTCCTTTTAGATCGGACAAAGTGTAGATCGTGTTCCCGTCTTCAAATTCACCCTACAGTTATAGAGCTTCGTAGCGCGTAACAATAAGGCTTGGGGGTTGCGCGCAGTCAGAACGAAGCGAGGAGGCTGTGTAGACTAGCTATAAGAGGGACGCCGTGCGTCGCGACGCCATCAGAACACCTGCCGCGCTCGACCCGAGCTCGGCGCAACCCCCACAATATCTTGCGCTGCCACTTCGATCTCTCCGCAGCGATCGAAGGGCGAGGGAAACCGATCCAGCCGCGAGGGAGAAGCTTCAGTTCTTACTTGACTCGCTACGCGTTGTCACCTGTTTCTGTTCCTCCTCGATTTTTGTCATCAGTGAGAGATGTTCTCCAAGTCAACTTCAACAATTCTCTTGATCATCATCATCATCGTTGTCATCGGCGCGACGTTTCACGTTGCGAAAGCAGCAATCGATAACGATCGCCGTCAACAACAGGTAAACGCACCGCTAAAATGTATATTTGCTTAAAATATGTATGAAATATAACTTGAAGAAACTTATTTTAAATATCCGAGTTTAAGAAATATACAAATTATAAAATATACAAAAATATATATAATTTGAAGAAATATATATTTTTGACAATAAAATTAGAAAATGTAAAATTAAAAGTAAAACACATATATAATTATTTATCTTAATTATTATTATATTTCATTAATTTTTATCGGCTTTAATATGTTGTTTGGTTAATTCTTGAATTAATCATTAATGATGCTAGAACTAAGGATAATAAACACAAAAATAATTGAAATAATTGTGGTTATTAAAACTTTTTTAATAACAATAAATTGCGATCGTTTTCAAATTATTAAGAGGATAATTCTTATTTATATATACATTGCAAGAGTCACATTAAAAAGTGATGTTAATAAAGTATCTTAAAATGTTTATACTGAATGTACATAATTTTAATTTAATTATTTTTCTGTTTTTATATTACTTTCTTCTTCCAAAAATAATTGATTTGAAGACATTCAAAATTTAAGATTTATTCAAGAATTTTAACATACATCAAACTTAATGAAAATAATATTACGGTTACAGAAGACCATGCTATATGAAAAATTATTGTAGGTTTCTTCTCCAATCAATTATCTCTTTTTTTTTTAAATTATAATTGCTTTATGATTCACTTAATTTAGCTAATTGATGTTTGCTGTATTTTTCTGTTAGGATTAAATTGACGATCGATCGGTATGACTCAAATGTTTAGTGACAATTTCGAAAATGAGTTCATGATTACAATTATGTGTGTATTTATACACTGTGCACAATAAACTTTAATAAAATTAAAGAATTTAATTATATAAAAAAAAAAATAATTGAAGGAGTAATTATTTTATTGTACAAAAATTAAATTAAATTAAACATGAAATTAAATTAAAAATATGATACTTTTAAATTAATAAATGAATCTTATCAGACACGAGATTAAAAGTTAGAAAGAGAATTTCAAAAACTAGGAACTTTAAGAATTTTTTTTATACTACAAGTGACGTCATTTGCTAACTTATAATGAGTTTTGATTCTTTACTTACAAGTCACTCTTCGCTAGTTAGGATTTGAACTTCTTTTTATCACTTTAAGGAAATAGAGATAAATATAATATCAAGTTATTATATCAAAGATGAAAACTTAATTAGTTAAGTTTCCTACAGCTTTTTATATATAATAGATATAAAGCGATGTCTTTTGCGAGTTTTGATTAGAATTTTTATAGAAAAGAGATCGCATGAGCGAGAAAATTTTTGAATCTACATTACTTTGCTATTTAAAATTTGATTTCTATGACAAAATGTTGTAGAACTGTACTTTTCTATCGATATTAGCTAAAATCAGAAATGAGAAAATATACTGTTGACTATTAATCATAAAAACGTGCTTTATTATAGTATAGTATAACATTAATTTCTTGTGTATTCAAAGAGAGTTAAAAAGAACAAACAAAAGACATATAGATATATATCATTGTACCAGGGACCTCGCATGTCATATTAACGATATGCGATAATTACCTTCCGGCCGCCTCGCGATCACCGGCAAATGCGCCCGTATTGCGATTCGCGCCAGGGCCATCATTCAGACAGGAGACTTTGGCAATTACTATCGAGACAGGTTTATCTGGCAGGTGGGGACGGTTTTCATAGTGGCTCCCACATCCTCTTGCGAGAAATAATGTTAATTGAATAACGGATTTTTCGTTTCGCACACGCGCGGTAGTGGAAAATGTAATTTGCGCGATTCTTGTTCCAGCATGTAACGACAGATGCATCTGCCCGAACAAAATGCAACAAATGCTTCTATTTTAATCATACCGATATATATATATATATATGTGTGTGTGT